AAGTAGAAAGAAAGTGTTTTTAGAATGATGATGGCAACAACCTATGCACAAGGGTGCTTGACACAAAGGATGTATGGACTGTGATAAGAGCTATACAAGTCCCCAATAACTTGATTTTTAAAACAACATCAGGAGGCGTGTGTACAAAACCTCATGAAGAAGACAGAAGTGGAGGACATTGTGTTCAGCGAAGTTTGTCAATCTCATAAAGATAAGTATTTCACGGCACCATTGTAAAGGAAGAAAAGTCAAATACAACATGGTGAAGCAGCCAAGACTGATGGGGTGGCAGGAGGGGCAGGAGGAAGACCAGGGGTCAGAAGGGAGTGTGGCTGATCAGAGAAAAACACAAGAGGAGAAAAGAAAGAACAGGGGGTTGAATGGGATCCTCTCCCCATTCTGATGAGACGGCGTTGCACCCACAGAGAGTAGCCTTTCCTTATTGTGTCAAATCCCACAAATGAAAAGGCAGAATAATGAGACGAATGGATAAAACATCCAAGAAAAAAAGGAAGGGCTGCAGCCTTGAAAAGCCTCCAGATTCCTGCCACACTAGAGTGGAGGCTTCTAAAAGGAGGGGAAGGACAGCAGTCACACAGACACACACACACACACACACACACACACACGCACGCACGTGCGCGGATGGATCTGGAGATGTGACACTGAGTGAGAGGAGTCGATCGCAGCAGGACAAATATTGTATGAGATTTTATTTTTAAGGCAAAAACCTTCCTACCAAAGGGAACACTCTGGAGCCTCCCAAGAAGGGGGTGGGGGTGGGAGGCAGGGAGGGAAGGGGGAGACTAGGCTAGAAGATGGACTGGAATTAACTTGGGCGGAGGGGAAGGTAGGAATCCACCAGACCAGACTGAGAGGAGTGATCAGTGGAGAGAGAGAGGCAGGGAGGGTAAATGCTGAGAGGGTTCCCTAAGTGGTTTAAACTGTGGATGGTCTGAAAAGGCTGGTCTGAAACGGACACCCCCAACTAAGGCACACTTTTAAAACATTGTTACGAGGGGGGGGGGGTCCTTACTTTCAAATGCAAAATACAAAGTTTCATTTTTCAAGAAGGTTGGGGATACAGTATCCTTTCTGTTTCTATTGATAAAAATAAAACAAGCCCTAAGTGGCCAGCACATGTTTGAGACCGATGAGGGCAATGACTGTACAAATGTGCTTTACACAATTGATGTATGTATGGATGGATTGTGATACGAGTCGTATGAGCCCCGAATAAAATGATTAAAAAGAAAAAATTAAAGATTAAAAAAGTAAAAAGAAAAAGAAAACACGCTCTCCTTGCCTAGATCTCGCAGGCTGTCAGCCTCCTCCCTGTGCCTTGAAATGTGCAGACTACGTGGTGGTAATAGTGCACAGGCTCGGGGGAGGACATGGGATTAGTGTGAGAGCCTCATGACAAATCTTCTATTATGATTTATTATTATTATTACTGTAAATACTCGAGCATAAGCCAACCCGAATATCAGCCGAGGCATTCTACCATCAAAACCGCATTTTAAAATGTGCTGAAAAACTCAGCTTATGCACGAGTATATACGGTAATCATTTTATTGGGGGCTCGTACAGATCTTCTCACAATCCATAATTCAACTGTATCAAGCACACTGGTACCTATGTTGCCATCATTCTTTTCAAAGCAATGTCTTTCTACTTGAGCCCCTGGTATCAGCTCCTCTTTTGTCCCCTCCCTCCCCCACCCTCCTACCCTCAATCAATTGTATACTATTATTGTTATTTTCATATCTTACACCGTCCGCTGTCTCCCTTCACCCACCTTTCTGTTATTGATCCCCCCAGGGGGCAGGGCGGGTTCATGACAAACCTCATCTAAGAAGAAGTGCAGTCAGAATGCTCCTTAGAAGCGAGGATGGGAGACCTGGTCTCACCTACTTTGGACGCGACATCACTGAGAGGGGGCCTGGCGGAGGACATCGGGTCAGGCAGATAGTGGGTCGACCAAGAAAGAGGAAGACGCTGCCCGGGATGGGACTGACACCGTGGCTGCACCAGTGGGCTCCCACAGGATGGTCGTGGTGGGGTGCAGGACTGGGCAGCACTTCATTCGGTTGTGCATGGGCAGCCGTGGTTGGACCAGCACGGAACCACAAGTAGCAGCTTCACAACTGCTACTTGTGTAGCAGCTTCACAACTGCTACTTGTGTAGCAGCTTCACAACTGCTACTTGTGTAGCAGCTTCACAACTGCTACTTGTGTAGCAGCGTAGCTGGGTAGTCACAA